TGGAGACCGCTGTTAGCTGTGGCAGAGCGCCCAGATTAACCTGTGACACAGCTTCGATCACCTTTATATTCTGCTCTCAATCATTATCAACAATGGTTTGCCAGTCAAAATTTGTATCAACGATGTAACATGGTTCTCGATCTCAGTCAGCCGGCTAAGCTGCATCTGGTCTGGCCGTGCTTTCCTCCCATCCGGCGGTGGAAGGAGGGTGCAACTACGGACCTGAAGTTTCAGCGGGCTGATAATACCCACCAATGCGCCTTCCAGAATTCAGCCTCTGTTAACAACACAGCGCTGATTGCGTCCTCCTTCACAAAGCTGGCGGCCAACTCCACTACTACGATGGAGGAGGAAAAGGGGGAAAATAGCAAAGGGGCCAGCGCGTAGCTCACAGAGTGCACTGCTTCTACTATCACTGCTGCCCGGATCGGTGTTTGGCAGTCCCAAATCCACGAGTCCTGTGGCTCCAGCAGTCTGCTGTCCCTGAGGCCATCAGGAAGGATCTGCTTGAGGCCCCGGTGAGCCCAGATGGGCCTTGGTGACCTTGGTGGACACCATGAGGTCCACGGCCCAGGAGGCGGAGATACTGCCCCCCTCCGCTCCCCGGCTCACCGGCGGGACCACCACGACCAGAAGAAGGACCACGAGCACCATGGTAGGCCTGCGGCTGCTGCAGGCTCAGCTCCCTGCACCGTTCCCCGGCCTCCTGACCTGCTGGCTCAGCGTCTTGCTCCTAAGTGCACGACGCACGACGCAGGGGACAGAGTGTTTGCAGTCAGGACCATGAACCTCTGGAACAGCCTGAACGACAAAATCACAGAAACAACCTTGATGGCAACACCCTGCTAGCAAGGGTTCTGCTGTAGTCAGGTTATGCGAGCTGAAATGCAAATAGACTGAGAAGAAAAGACTGTGCAGGGGTTTTTGTGATTTCAATTCAGTTTTATTTATATAGCGCCAAATCACAACAACAGTTATCTCACAGTGCTTTTCATATAAGAGCAGGTCTAGACCGTACTCTGATGCTATTTACAGTTGCCCAACAGTTGCCACCAAGAGCAAGCACTAGGCGACAGAGGCAAGGAAAAACTTCCTTGCCTGCAACAGTCTAAAGGCGGGGACACACAGTAGGCTAATGATAGCAAGTTCGAGTCTTTTGACAGACTCGTTCAATAAAATCTCGTTCATTAAAATGAACTAATCTTTTTAATTTCGTTCATTTCATTCATTTGAACTGATAGTAATTATATGCATAAGCCTTTATATGGCTAGTCTGGTTGTATACTCAGGAAAGATTGTGAAAATGGAAGGATTTAGCTGGAGTAGTGGTGATTACATATTGACAACATATTTCTGTGGTTTTTACATGGTTTGAATTTGGTTGTGGGCCCAGGGGGTGTATATAATGATGATATACAGTAATCAAGAGGTGAATTTGTGCATTATACTTTGTCAATTAAGTTTGAGAATGGCGCTGTTTTTTAATCGCCCACTAGAGGGCTGCAGCGCCACAATAACCAGCCTAGTTCAAATGAACGAAATGACTCAAAAAAAGATTAGTTAATTTTAATGAACGAGATTTGAATGAACGAGTCTGTCAAAAGACTCAAACTTGCCCTCACTAGTTGTAACCTCACAGTCTTGAGTTAACTGGATGTCGGGGAGCTGCACATTTTTACTCCCCTCCAGCTCTCTCTGCTAATCCATCCTTTCACCCAGATTCTTTGTCTTTATAATTGCCATCTTTATAATCACAAACAGCAGTGTGCAGGATTGCTCATTTCCTGTTTCATATTTTTTCTTGGTAAAAGTGGTTTGGCAGCGTCAAGCTGAAGTACTTCTTAAACAACGCATCGATGAATCGTTGAAATAATCTATAGAAGCTTCAAATACTAAAATCATCGTTAGCTGCAGCCCTATTGTATGGCTCTTGTAGGTGGTTTATAGCATAAAAGTAATTGACATGATGTTTGAAATTATTTCAAACAAGATGTTTAAAATATTTTCACAAATGAAACACATTAATGCAAAGAATAATAAAAACAAGTGTGAACATAAATGGTGATCTAGCCACAAACTTGGGTAAAAAGCTACCAGAATAGTCTGTTAACTACTGTGGATGGTAGATACATTTATTTGTCACAATATAACAAGTTATAGAGTGAAATTGAGTTTGTAACTCTCTTCTGCAACGTAGCAGACAATATACATTAATAAAGAAGCAATTACAAAATTTGTAAACAGAAATAAATTACCATCACTGGAGCAGTGCTGAGGATGAATTAGAGTTTAAGGCTCTGATAGCTTGGGGGAAAAAGCTGCTCTCCAGTCTGGTGGTGTGGCAGAAGAAACTTCTATATCTCTTCCCAGAAGGCAGCAGGGTGAACAGGCTGTGGCTGGCTGGGTACTGTCCTTTAGTATCCTTTGGGCTCTGAAGGCTCCTCACCTCACCGATATCACTGATGCAGGAGATGGGTACCAATGATCTTCTGAGCAGTTTAATCACCCGCTGCAGAGCCCTCCGGTCCTGGGCCGTGCACATCCCATGCCAGTTTCTGATGTTTCCAGTCAGGATTCTTTCTATTGCTCCTCTGTAAAAGCTGACAAGAACTTGGCGTGGGAATTTGGCCTTCTAAAGCTTCCTCAAGAAATACAGTAATTTCTGAGCTTCTATCCTCCTTCTCAACAAGCATCAGTGCTGCCAAAACTGCATTCTATAATGACAGAATAAGCAGTGCCACTGACTCAAGGAAATTATTTTCCACTTTTAAAGCACTACTAAATCCTCCTCCACCTCCACCACCCACAAACTTGTCTGCTGATACCTTTGCTGCCTTCTTCACAGGCAAAGTGGCGGCTATAATTAGCCAATTCTCTGAAACACTCAAACTCAACCATTGTAGCAGTCCTACTACATCTTTTCCTCTGCCCTCCCAGGTTGCCTTTGACACAGTCAACCACAGGATCCTGCCATCCGCTCTCTCTCAGCAATGGGCATCTCGAGTAAAGCACTCCTGTGGTTCGAATCCTACCTCTCGGGGCGTTCCTACAATGTTTTGTGGCAAAGACAATTATCCTCCTCCCACTGCTTCTCCACAGGGGTGCCCCAAGGCTCAGTGCTTGGGCCCCTTCTCTTCTCAATTTACACCACCTCATTGGGGCCGATCATTCGCTCACAACTCTACCTATCCTTCCCGCCAGGCGATCCCACTGTCTCGGCGCGGATCACGGACTGTCTATCGGACATATCTGCATGGATGAAGGCTTGCCAACTTCAACTAAACCTCTCTAAGACTGAACTCTTGGTCATTCCAGCCAAGCAATCTGTCCACCATAACATCAAACTACAAATTGACTCCTCAACGATGACTCTAAAGAGGGTGGTGAGAAACTTGTGTGTCATGATTGATGACCAGCTGTCCTTTTCAGACCATGTTGCTGCTGTCTCTCGGTCGTGCCGCTTTGCTCTATACAACATAATGAAAATCAGGCTCTACCTCACTCAGTACGCCACCCAGCTTCTGGCACAGGCCATGGTTATCTTTCGCATCGACTATTGCAATGCCCTCCTAGCAGGTCTTCCAGCTTGTGCGGTGAAACCCCTACAAATGGTTCAGAACGCAGCAGCGCGTCTGGTTTTTGATCAGCCCAAAAGGACTCATGTCACTCCATTACTCAGTGACCTCCACTGGCTCCCCGTGGCCTCCAGAATCAAATTCAAGTCACTAATGCTTGAATACAGAGTGACGACTGGGTCTGCACCCATCTACCTAAACTCCATAATACAAACGATGGTGGAAGGAGCTACCACACGCCATCAGAGCAGGGGCGTCCCTCTCTAACTTCAAGAAGCTCTTGAAAACTCAAAACAACAGTTCCTCTTATAACACCTCTAACTCCTAACCTCCAACATGCACTTCCTGTGCTCTTCTTCTTCTATCCCCTACAATGATCTTGTATTGAGTGCACTTTTTGTTAACTCTTAGTTCCTTCCCTAGGTATTTACCCCATTGATGTGATATGTACTGTGAGCTCTTACTAGTATTTATTGCTGCTCTTACTAGTATGTATTGTCAGTTGTAGATCTGTATGTTGTTCCTCAAATGTAAGTCGCTTTGGATAAAAGCGTCTGCCAAATGAGTTAATGTAATGTAATGTTCAACACTGGATGTTCTTACACTTCTTGCACAGGAAATCCATGCAGATATGGGGAAAATAGGCAAACTCCACACAGAAAGGCCTTGGACAACCGGGGTCAGATATTAGATGGGCAACCTTAGGACAAAATCTTGGGTGGTGTATTTTTTATTGTCCTTGATGTAGGGCTAAGTAATATGGCCATAAAATGTTATCACAATAAAAAATTTCATATAATTTGATATGTCCAATCATCAATTCTTTCAGGTTTAAAGGCAGATTTTTGCTCCTGAGTAGAAAACCAGATGGTTAATTGTGGTTTTCTATTTATGGTTAGAACATGACAAACACTTTCCAAACAGTGGATCACTTAACAAATCTGAGGTACAACAATTATGATATGATGTCTTTTCCTCAACTAAATACCTTTTAATAGAAAATCATCGTGCTAATTCATGATTCAAACCTTTATTGAACATTAGGTTATATTGTTGAGGAAAATTATATCGCGATCATTATTATTGTCCACTGCTGTAGGAGTATATTAATGTACGAAGGCTCTAAACAGTAAAAAAATAAATAAATCAATGCTATGATATTCTTAATGTCAGAATTCACGATGTGTTTAGGCTAGAGTTTTAATACTACCCTACCCTGACCCTTCCAATAGCTTTTTTGTGTGTCTAGGTATGATACACATGCCTCCACAATTTGGTAAACGGAGGTGAATCAGAGAGGTTGGCTTTTGTTTTGAAAATTGTGAGGGGCACTTTTGCACACCCATACATGAAATCCATATTATCCAGCCAGGTTTTGTAACTTTGTATTGTCTGAAAGTAATTATTTGTTCGTTGCAGATCCAACAAGCAGCAACGTTGGAGGAAACCCCAACCTGTCCCTATTGGGGTCCCTGACCGTCATCCGGTCTCTAAATGACAGGGATGACATTCTTTCTTCGGCCATGACATTTTATTTAGAAGGAAGAGTGGATGCACCTCAGACAGTAAGTGCTTTTATTGTGTCTGTGGAACATAGCAGGAAATGGCATCTGTATTTGAAAGATTAAAAGACAATTGGTGTGATATGTTTTCTGTGTTAACGCACTATAGGTCACTTAACAGATTTCTCCGCTACCCCTGATCCTACACTAATACCAAAATAAAAAAGAAGGAACATGAGAAGTATCTCAATAATGCAGCAAAATACATTACGCTAAAGTTTCTACAGCATCTAAAATACAGTATGTTGCCCTGACTCTTGAGTAACCTGATTACGTAAGTGCATGTTAATGTCCTGAATGTTGGTTTTGATATTACAAAGTGATTTTCTAAATGTATACAAACAGACAAAAGTGAGAGTAAGCCTTTTTCTAATATAAATAAGGCTTAATATTAACAACATTTTATAGAGAAACTGGTACTCTGGCTAGACGTGTAGTAATGTAACAAGTCACTAATCTAATTTTATGCAATGTCCTTACAAGGTTGCGGGAGGTCATGGAAGCATTGGGATTGCTGGAAGCACTTAAAAAGGACCCAGCGTTGAGGGTGATGTTTGTTGGAGGTGCTCCTGCCCCACTGACAGCAATCACGATGACCAACCTTTTTAAGATGGCATACTCTGTGGCAGGAAGCTCGCTGGCGTTTGGAGGAAGAGAAAGCTGTTGGCCACTGGAGGGACTGGCTCATTGATATTGAGGGTATGCACACTTTGAAAACTTGAAATTAAAAATGTGAAAAGATTACCTTAGTGCACAATTTTTAGTCACAGTAATTCTTCATGAAGTTTTCAAATACAAAAATGTAATTTCAGGAATGATATCATAGTGGTTACAGATCAACACCACAAAGTATATCTGCATTACTGAGAGTGAGTACATAAAACAACTTAAATAAATGGGAAAGATCAAGTTCCAGTCAATTATGTATAAAGGTCACTTTTATGTCCCTATGGAGAAATTTGTCTCAAATAAAAGGAACTGCTGCAACAACAGCATTACAATAAAACCAGACCTAATCAGTTTTGGGACCTGCATGCTTAATTGTGATTTTTATTTAAACAGCTTTATCACTATGTGTGATAATTATGCAAACCTTTGTCTGGCATCGAGCCAGTTACATGGTGGGCCATAACATAGTCAAATAATTGTAAATCTTTGTCTTATTGTTTGCCTGTTTAGCTCAGTCAGTATTGCGCAGGACTCCCAATGGGAGGGTTGTATGATTGATCCCAACATGCTGCGAATATTTTTTTCCCCTCACTCGTTTACGACACTTTTACACATGCTCACATTAAGCGTGTGGGTCTGTGTGCGCATCCCGGCGACCTGCATTCATAAAACTATGGACAGTTATTTGCATTTACCCAGCATCTCCAGGCACATGTTTGCTGACAGCTTTTTCAGAGTTGTGTCAAGCAAGCCAGACACTCTTTTGAATATCCTTCAGAACTTTTCAAAGTAAAAGCTCTCAGTAAAGTCAACATGAAGCGTTGCTGCAATAAAAATGTATTGATTCATTTTGTAGGCACAATAACATGGAAGGAAGTGATCATCTGTGTAGCTGTCATATTTTTTATTTTTCTGCCATCAAAGCAATCTTGTACAGAAATATTTTCCTTCTATCATTTCATTGATTAACATGGATCGCATCTTTTTCATTGCAGGTGGAGATGCTGTCCTGTTTGTGGAGGATGGACTTGAGCCAGTCAATGTGACCCTTGAAGATGTGCTGATGTTTGCGAATGGCACAGAACAAATCCCTCCACTTGGGTTCAATGAGGTGCCTGCACTGGCTTTTTCAAATGAGCCAGTTAACAGCAGGAGGAGGGTTTTTCCTGAGGCAAACACCTGCGCTCTGGTCTTGAGGCTGCCATTACATGCCTCATATGAAGCATTCTCTGACTGTATGATATCTGGCATTGTCCAGTCTCCAAATTTTGGAACTGCCTAAAGATAAGGGTGAGGTTCCGGCATGTACTGTATATAGTTCTTATATGATGTTTTGTTAATATTATTTAGTTATGTAGTTTTATATATGTTAGATATTAATGATTTTTGTTTATGAGATATTGATATTGGGTGAATTGATTTATTTGAAATTTATTTGATCTGTCTGGTATCGGAACAGTGTCGGATTTCCCGTATCTTTCAAAGGTATTCAACTGGCGTTGATGACTAAAGAAACTTGCCACACTATTAATTGGATAATTTCTTGAAATTTCTCAAATGTGCCAGTTTTTTGAGCTCTCTGAAATGTTCACATTTTTTAATTTATCCACAAAAATTAAATATAAAATTACCCACACGTCTTTTGCTGGTCTGGGCATTTCATGGACACGCCCTATTTACCCTTTTTGGAGATTTATTTGACAGATTTTTCCTATCTGTCTAGGGAGAGCTGGTTACCTTGCTGATGTTAATTAGCTAAGCAGAGCACAAAGGACTAATTGGTGGCCTAAAGTGGAGTTTTTTTTGGAATACCTGTCTGCAATACCTTTATTGATGAGTCAAAGTCAAACATACATACACGTGCGCACACACACAAATGTCGCTCCACGTTTTATGGTAGATGGCTGAAGATCCCAAACAAAGAGACAAATACTGACAAACTGATTTAGCTACCTTTGTTCGGACTTGCACACACAAAGCTAGGCTTTGCCAACTGTTTTGCCACCTAATAATTTAAGTTATCGGAAATTGGGATTACACGCATCTGTCAAGTTAATGGTATAATTCAAGCCAGCAATCCAGTTTAGCGTCAGCCTTCAGCATTCACACCATGCTAGTAATCCCTCAAAGCCACAAAAACCTGACCTCATGTAATTATTGGCAATGCTGAGCACTGAATTTTTGAGGGCCCCAGTGAGTCTCTGAAGGACAATTTTGAAATTGCAGTAGTTTGTCTGCATTTTCCCCAGCTACAAGTCTTGCTTGATATGTTTCAGCAAAAATGTACACCAATACATATTTGTTTTCTGGGTTAATGCAAGGAAGAGATAAGAGAAATACATGGACTGAAGCGGAAACAGCAGAGAGATCTAGACAGAGCAGCACACCAGATTCATCATTGCAAGTAGGGGGAGCTAATGAGCATCTGGATGTTGATTTTACCACAGCCTATGACCAGCAACCTGAAGTTTTCGGGCCGTCAGGTCATCCAGGGCATATCTGTATTCTGTGTGAATACATGTTGGTGACTGACAAAACATTTGTCTGTGTTCCAAAAACAGATACTATTTGAGATAAGGCTTTGATGTAACACTAAATATCTGATTATTCACAACCAATAAGAGAGTAACATTTTAAATTATTTTTACATAATATGCAGAGGCTGTGAAGCCACCACCAGCATTCTGTGAATGTTTGAATTGAGTGTGACCAGAAATTGTTACTGTGTTCTGACTAACACTAGCTCTGTGTCTAAATTAAGTGTCATAATTCGCAAATTTCCAGTAAAACACCTTGTCAATGCCATTGTCATTTATAGTATTATTCTTGATGTTACCTAAATCAATACAGAAAAACGCTTCAGAAGATTACTTAGATAGATAGATAGATAGATAGCTTTATTGTCTGTCCCAAAAAAAAAGGTGACAGAAATTCTTTATCAGAACCCTAAATGGTTTCATTACCAAGTTTTTACATATACACAGAATTTGTTTTGGTGTGCAACCAGGGGCGTAGGAGCGACTTTGAACTTGGGGGGGCCCTGAAATGCTAGGGGGGTTGGGGGGCATGCCCCCCTGATTAAAAAAATAAAAAATAAAGCACTTAAATGCTCATTTCTTTTGAAAACAATGTACTTTTAAGTGTGGCTGAAAAGGGTCTTTGCAGTGACAGAAGATGGAGAATAGACTGGAGAGGGTCAGAAACAGAGTATAATATAACTAGAACAAAACAGACTACATACCATGAAAAACATGGAACAGCTGCTAGTTAATGTAGCTAGCCACAGTACAAATTTATTTACATTTATTCATTTAGCTGACGCTTTTATCCAAAGCGACTTACAATTGCTATATATGTCAGAGGTCGCACACCTCTGGAGCAACAAGGGGTTAAGTGTCTTGTTCAGGGACACATTGGTGGATGGATCACAGTGGCTTTGACTCTGTTCTGCTCTCACCCTCATCTCTGCGGTCTGTCTCATGTTCACCATGACAGCCCTAGTATTGGTGCTGCTGGTCTGTGGCGGGTTGAGTACTCAAAATCTTTACTCAAGAAAAAGTACAATTACTCCCATAAAAAGTAAGAGGAAAAAATTACAAACCTACTCAAGTATAATGATATATTTCATCTGTTGTTCATCTGGTTAGAAACAGCTGCAACATGGTTATTTCTAGGGAATGCAATTTGCTTTGCTGGTTGATTATCTTTAGCTATTTCTGTTTCAAATAGAATAAAAATTATTTTCCTTTTTAAATCTCCATGAAGGTATTGATAAGATCACTTATATCATTTAAATATCAGCTTGCTGCAGACACTATTGCTGCATGTGTCTTATTATGGACATGTAGCCAACCAAACCACTTGCTTTGCAGTAGCACAGGCTGCCAAAACAATCTGATTATTCCTAAAGCATCTAAATAATCTTCACAACGCAAAGAATTATTGTGGCAGTAACACCAGAGCAGCTCGTTGTTGAAGCAGGTAAACCTTCATACAGAGGAAGCTGTGAGTCGTGTAAAACCCAACAGGACTGTTTTATCCACCCATATTTTCTCTCTCTCTGCATCTCAAAAATAATTGTTTCCTGAATAATACAGCTGGTAGCTGCTGAGTGAAGCCAAGATTAGTTTCACCGGCGACATTCTGTTTATGGACTCACCGACCGTGAGTCCATAAACAATGGTAACCAATGTGAAAAAAGGTTAATGTCCATCAAAAGAAAGCGATGCTCTTTTCAACAACAGGATACTGTTAATATATCAGAATCAATCGATCATCTAACATGTTACAGTGTTAAGTCTATGTTTGCTCTGCAAGTAAATACGCGTTTAATACGCTGTTAATGGAAAGTGAAAGTATTTAGGCTATTTGCCGGCTTGTTAAAGAGCAACGTAAGCTGCTTTCCAACACATGGTGTGCGCTCACTGGTTTTCAGTTATATTATTAGGACATTAAAGCCTTAAACTGAAAAAGGTGTTTGCCTGATTTTCTAAATGTTTGCATCTTCCCAGTTGTGACCGTGACAAGCGCCTGAGACCAGGCGCTCTTCTGCGTAACTGCACACACACTGCCTGGATCATTTCGGTTAATGAAGCAAATGCAGATTACAGACTGGTTAAGTTATGAAGGTATGAATGGAAAATGTAGCGTTCTAAAAAAAAAGTAGATCAGTAGAAAAAGATTACTGGCCTACAGAAAATACTGGAGTAAAGAGTAAAAGTACAGTTTTAAAATAGGAAAGTGACAAGGTGCCAGTTACTTTTTAAATTTTATTTATTTAGCAAATTTGCGTTATTTGTAACAAGTTACTACCCACCCTGCAGCAGGAGTCCTCACTTCTGTATTCAGGTATAGGCTATAAGTAACAGCAGCACAAAAGAAATTTATTGAAGCACTTTGCTGCACCTGCTTCGAGCAAAGTTTTTCCCCCTCCCTTAACTTTTCAGCACCACCTTTGCCTTGTGTCACGTGTTTTCTGTAGGCCTACGTGATTTTTGTCCGCATTTCAACCATTTGATCATGTCGGATGCGGAGTGTCTGATTGATTCATTAGTCATTCAAACCGCCTCGGCTATGAGCAAACTTCCGAAATCGATGGAAAAAAGTGGGGGGGACAAAACAGATTTTGAAATTGGGGGGGGGGGGGCACATGTCCCCCCATGTAGAATACCTCTAACTTGAGAACACATTTCAATCTGAAAATGGGAGTGGAGGGCCTGGAAAATTAAAAATATATCAAGTTATACAAGTAACTGAAAACACATTTACTTTCCTCACACATATACACACTTCCATATACTGTATGTGCATTAACTATTTCCAGTTTTTGTTTAGGGCCATTCTCAACAGCAATGTAGACTGGGTTGTAGCTCTTTTGATCCTTTAATGACAACATCCTGCTGGTGGTGCAGCACACTGTGGAAATTTACATCGAAATGACATTAGCCTAGGAAACATGAAGTTGGCATGCAACAGTTCACAGACCAGTTCCAGAAATTGGTTACAATCCCTGTCATGAATTGGTGGTTAAAATAAAGCAGTTTTGTATAGATGACCATCACTTCCACAGGAGGAACAAAAACAGAACTAGTTACTAAAAGTCCAACAGCATATATGATGGAGAATCTGCAGCTCATTAAATGATCCTTGAGTTGCTGAGGTCTATAGTTTGTGCGTGGTGTGCTCCATTGTCTCCTCGTTGTTCGCACCGACCGACTGCTGCTCTGCCAACATGTCTGTTAGCTTCAGCTCGAGCACTGGATCCCTGTTCTCTGCTGAAACCTGCAGGAAAACAAAAGTACTGTGATCACATTAATCAAACTGCAACAAGGGCATTTGAGGGGTAAACGGTCCTGATTTTAAAATGGAATGACTCATTTTACAATTAGAATGTGATCCATTTGGTCGATAACATTTGAAAAGGCTACGTACGCACGTATACAGTTTTACCCCCCATTCACGTTAGCGGAGGGCTAAACTGGAAGTTAGCCTGCTCGGCCGGTGTAGGGTCTACGTGCGTAGCCTATGGCGTAGCTATCCAAAGCAACTGACAATTGCTATATATGTCAGAGGTTGCATGTCTCTGGATCAACTAGGGGTTAAGTGTCTTGCTCAGGCACACACTGGAGAACCCGGGTCTCTCACACCAAAGGCATGTGTCTTATCCATTGCGCCACCACCACCCCATAACTCACCAACATACATGCCGACTTGTTTAAAGAATTTAAATGGCAACAGATTAGTGATATACAAGTCATAAGTCAATTTAAGTCAAATGAGTTTGGTTTATTGTGTGACAAGCAAATGATTTTTAGCATTATAGTTTGACGAGGAAATTAAGGGCAATGCTAACGGTTTGATGTGGCTTTTTAGCTAACATACTAATGTGACAAAAGCAACTTTCACTCTAGTAATGGTAATGTTGTAAGCAGTGTTGAGGGTAACACTGTTTACAACATTACCAACATGGGGGTTACTGTAATCAGATTACTTAATCACATTACAGTTACTAATAACAGAATCACTGTGTTACTTGCATTATCAGCATAATGGGAGAAGAAAAATAAATCCAACATCCCTTTTCATGAGTGTTTGCGTAACACTTTTCCCACCTCACTTTTGAATTCAGTGCCAGTTCGTTCCGACTCCGAGGAGGAACAGGTTGTCTGACAAACGATTTGAGAGACTCCTGCTCAGGTTGTGAACTACGGGGGAGCCAGGGGGTGCTTAGCTCCCCTTGATAAGACATCAGCTCCCCTAAAAACATGATTTGTGATATTGTGTTGACAGCATGCTTTATTGACATTAATCTCTGTATTTCTCTATCATCATGGATCATGCAGAGCGTCAGACTACAGAGGAAATGATGAACGACCGTCCGCAGCGAGCTGGTCGCTCCTTGATCTCCTGGTCCAGTAAGCTCCACCGCCCCTCTCCGGTACAGGTTGTGTCGCTAAGCACCATGAACGGCTCGTGATCGTTCCCCTCTGGCTGGATGAATATTACGCATGATCCATGCACTACTGCAGCTGGGGGCTCTCTGCAGCGCCACGCAACTTTCTAAATTCTTCCCTCTCAGAGAAAAGAAAGGTCAGGTCCCAAACACAGCCGCAGCCGTTGTGTCAAGCGTAATTGTAGCAAAATGGCTACATATAATAATTGCATCATCATCATCATCATCATTATTATCATTATTATTATTATTATTATTATTATTATTAATAATAATAATAATAATAAGACATACATGCCTAATTCTTTCACTGTCAGCCCCAGGCCTACATGCTTGCAGCTATAAGCTGTGATTCAGCAGTAAGAATCAGTCTGTAGTACTGTAGCCTTGTTCTTCTCTTGACAAATGTTGGGCTAATGTTAACAACTCTGTTTTCACTTTGTAGTATTAAATAGCATACAAGAGAGATCCAGTGTATGTCAATCTGAGCATACATGAGGTGTAACTATATATTGTTATTGTGCATCACAGGTGATGTTACGTAGTAATCCAAAAGTAATGTAACTAGTAGTGTAACTAGTTACTTTCAGCAGTGAGTAATGTAGTAAAGTAAGCCATTACTTTAAAAAAGTAACTAGTAATGTGTAATCCAATTACCTTTTTTGAATAACTACCCCAACACTGGTTGTTAAGCTGCTAAAATTAAGGTGTTCAAACGTATGCAGATCACCCATGTGTGACACACAGGGTTCTTGAAAAAATGTCAGCCTCAGGGCTCCTTCTCCATCACCCATCTTCCCATTTCAGTCAGTTGGGTCATTTCCGGAAAAGACTTGCAGCCTGCCATGCTGTTACCTTGTATTACCCTGCTTACAATAATGGGCCAAAAATATTCTGACAATACACCTGAAAATATGAGGTTGTAATCATCAGCTGTTTAGGTGGCCCTGGTTAGCACTTTTTTTTTTAGCAAGACTTACAGGAGGAATTCCTCTCCTTCTCAGCACGATTCCATCTGTGAGTAAAGCCTTCCCAGTCTCCTCAAACAGAGCAGTCTCCCCCAGCTCACTGTTGCTCTGTAATTCTGTGTACTTGTCTACAAACCTGTGGGATCAGAATGAAAAAACATTTAGAAACGCTGGTATGGAAATAATGTTCAGTGGATTTTCTAACATACAGTAATCATAAAATTCAAGTGCTTAAATTAACTTATTGATTTTTTTCATTTAGATCCCAGCAGAACTTGGAATCACCTCCTCCCATCTCACAGATGCCTCTACTCTTGTATACCATACACAGGCAAACCTAAATTATGTTTTTTTAAGCATTTTTAAGTTTAGAAAGCACATACCTTTGACACGCAGAAACAAAGTTTGATTTGGAAAGATCAATAGGCCGAGGACCCGTCCCATACTGTTCATAGAACTTCCTGAAAGCAAGACAGTTATGAGTGAGTGGAGCCTGCAAACACATCTTCCAACTTTTAATGCTGACACGAGCAACAGCTCATTTCAATACGAACATTCTAAATCCAGATGAGCTTAAGTGAATTTAATTACATTCCATAAATCTATTACTGTATAAATAGTAAGTTAGTTAAGTTTATTTGTATAGCACCTTTTACAGATAAAAATCACAAAGTGCTTCACAATACAATGTAATAAACACAACAAAGTAAAATACAATGCATAAGAAAATTTTAAAACAAATGAAAGACATAGAACAAAAACCATAAAAATCATCTAACTAAAAGCCTGCTTGAATAGCAGAGTCTTCAGTTGCTTTTTAAAAGGATCGACAGAATTCACACAACATAGAAAGGGAGGCAGTGCATTCCACAGCCTAGGTGCCACTGCTTGGAATGATCGATCCCCTCTGGTTTTGAAATTAGTGTAGGGAACCACTAACGACCTCTGACCTGATGACCTCAGACTACATGTGGGAGTACGAAGCTGTATCAAGTCAGAGATGTAGGGAGGAACTTGACCGTGCAGGGCTCTAAAAGTAAGGACCAGGATTTTAAACTGAATTCTATACTGGACTGGTAACAAGTGAAGTGCTGCTAAAACAGGTGTGATGTGTGCGCTGTTAATGTGAGTTAAAAGCCTTGCAGCAGAGTTCTGAACAGCCTGGAGACGGTAAAGCTCCTTCTTGCTCAAGTAAGTAAAAAGACCGTTACAGTAATCTAAACTAGAGTGCATTAGTAATTTTCACCAGTGCTATGATGAGCTCTAAATTCTGACTGAAAATCCTCAAATAAACTGTTGCTCTGTAGAAAGTCACAGCTGTTTAGCAACTGCTTTGTCAAAGGATCTTAGAGAGAAATGGATGGTTAGATATAGGTCTATAGGGGTTTTAGCAAACCTCTGGATAAAGAGTGGCTTTTTAGAAGAGGTTAAAGTACAGCTACTTTAAAGGACTGTGGTACATAGCCTGTTAGTGAAGACAGACTGATATAATAAAGAAGTGCTAACTAAGGGTAAAATTTCTTTAAGTAACCAAGTTGGGATGGGGTCTAAAAGACCTGCTGATGGTTTAGATCAGTGGTTCTCAACCTTTTTTGGGCAAGCGCCCCCTATCAATTATCTAGGTCCCTTACTGCACTTACTGCCTCCTCTTTTGTTTGGGGAATTAACTTAAATGTGACGTGGCACCTTTTCACGTCAGTGATAAATTAATTAATTTTAATTCAGTTATTGACTGGAATTTAATAGCTCCTGTTTTTTAGCAGGTTATCTACTCATGTTCAAAACTTTCTGCACATTCAGAATCTCCCCCATATATCTGTGTTCTCTGATATGTTGAGAAAAAAAGTTAAAAGAATATTAAGAGACAATTCATAATATTTTACTATCTGCCCTATACTGTGCTGTGCATTACGTTATTGTATCCCCTCGACCGTCTGAGATTGTTCTGGATGAGACAAGGAGGCGCTCGTGCTCGGAGATAACTAAATTAACAGACAACATCTGTGATTACGGCTGTCGCAGTGAAGTATTTTCCCCAACGGTTATTTGTTTGGGCTCAACAGCATGGTATGCACTTTTATTGCCATTTTTGATCAATGAAGAATTTGGTGTAAGTGTGTCTGTGGATATCACCTCACTGCAAATCTCACGTCCGAGCAATGTTGTATAACTCAGCACAACATTGCTCGGACTGAGCAAAGTAATTTCTGTAGTTTGAACGCATTTTTTCCTACGTAGCTATATCGTTACCTTCAGGGTATGTTTATCAAGTCAATTTATGCAACACGCACACACAATGGGCTTCCATTCAACAACAACTCTAATTAACGTTATAACTAAATTTCCACAGAACGCAACATGAACAGCAGCTGCAGGCATCCGACACTATGCTTGTTAGTTAGTGAGCTTCAAATGAGGCTACCGTTCACAATTTCTCTTGACTGTCCCCCAGTATCTCAACCTGCTAGCCACATTAGCCGCGCAATATGCTAATGCCAAGTTAACTAACCTAGAACACACATGGTAAAACAACACAAAACATAGCAACACTCACAGCTTCAAAATTTTAAGTCGGGTCATGTACAGCCCATGGCAATCCGTCCTTAAACCATTACAGAGCTTGTTATGTTTTTTGGAATTTTTGAAGCACTGATGTACTGATTTAACAGTATGGACATTGCGGTTGTTGGGGGGCTTGCCATCCTCTGCGGTTGGCTTGGCCAGTAGCATGGCATTTCAATTTTGCGATAATCTTGACAGCCCTACCTGTGATCAGGCAGAAATCTCACCACAAGTCCCCACACATTAACTTAAGCTTTGATAAAGTGCAGCTCACGGTCCCGAATAGACCAAGGCTGCACCTCAGTTTAACGTTTTTATATTGAAACTCTACATGTCATGTTACCAACACTCAGTGCGAGGTAGGTCCACAAGGCACTTGCTGGTTACGCATCAGGTGCTGGATGAAGTAGCTTTCAGGGGAAGTACGACAGCGGACTCTTGTATATGTGTAACCAACCGTGGGTGAAATTTTACAGATGATACTCTGACTTCCCCTTCCCATGAATGAAGCACAGAGCTGCACCACAAGTAGCTAACAGAAACATTTAAGAGAAAGAGTTACAATACATTGTCTCGTCCCGTCGCAGTTGAGTAAACTGGCAGGTTTCAATGTTGCAAATCAGTTTTTTTCAAGTAGCTGAAAGTTTGAACTCTTATTGTCGCCTTAAATGCCCCCTTTTCTAAAATATTGCTTCCAGCGCCCCCCGTTGTTCTCTGAACTGTACCACCCCTGTTGAGAAACACTGGTTTAGATGAAGAAGTCGTTTAAAAAATGTTGGTTGTTGGCCATTTCTAAGGGTTCCTGAGTTTGAAGATAAACCGGTACTAGTTGAGGGCAGTAGATGATGGATTTTGTTTCTTATATAAAACAAAAGATGGCTCAATAGAGCTGCAACTCTCCGTCAACCTGGCCTACAGTGCTGAAATGAAACTGGGGGTTGTTCTTATTTTCCTCTATTTATGACTAGTAATATGTCATAAATGGCATTACGGAGGGTCTTGGCCACTCTGACAGAAGCAAATCAAAGCTAATAATAACTTTTTATTTACGATTTATTTAGGTTAACATATTCTTCATGACCCAGCCAGGTTTCAGTAAAACTAAATAGTGCCTGGTGGGCCCTCGCATGTGCAGTGTATTGGGGTGTGACAGGGTTGCGCCCTATATTCCGCAGCTCTGCTGGTGCGGCTATGAATTTTCACTCGATTCGAGCGCTGCACGGAGGACTTAAACATCACAGAGCACCCAGTAACTATACATTATGTTTCAGTATGTGAAGTGTGGAGCACATTGTGAAAATTGATTTAAAAAGGTCATATTATGCTCTTTTTCAGGTTCAAAATCTTATTTAGTGGTTGTACTAGAAGAGATTAACATGGTTTCATTTTCAAAAAACACCATATTTTTTGTGATACTGCACATTGCTGCAGCTCCTCTTTTCACCCTGTGTTGAAGGCTTCGTTTTAGCTATGGAGTGATGCATCTTGTCTCTAAATGATCTTTGTTGGGAGTTGCACGTGTGCAGTTCTCAGTTAAGGACTACTAGCCCAAAACCCTACGCAGAGTCGCAGTCTAACACACTTCTCTGCTCCTCCATTTCAGGAGTTACTTAGTGAAAATCCCTACAGTGACGGTGTCTGTCCCCTGACCATCGAAATTATTTAAATCTAAAGGTGTACTAGTAAATGAACTAATATCAGATTATGATATTGATTTATTTGGTCTTACTGAAACCTGGCTGGGTGATGGAGAATATGTTAGCCTAAATGAATCCACCCCTCCCAGTCATATTAATACTCACATCCCTCGAGGCACAGGCCGAGGAGGTGGAGTTGCAGCTATCTTCGACTCTAGCCCACTAATCAGCTCTAAACCTAAACTAAACTATAACTCATTTGAAAGCCTTGTTCTTAGTCTTTCGCACTCAAGTTGGAAATCACTGCAACCAATTCTTTTTGTTGTGTACCGAACACCTGGTCCGTACTCTGAATTCTTATCTGAGTTTTTGCAGCTTATCTGCAAATTCAGATAAGAATTGTTCCGCCCTGTTCCTGTGAGGTTTTAATGTCATGTGACATGGTGACGTTTTGCAGTGCCAACGAAAGTCGGAAACACAATTTCTAACCAGCATGCCTTGTTTTAAGTCCAGCACGTATCACGTTAAGTCAGCGCTGTGCAGTGCCGCATTAAGTCAAACGCACCTATTGCCTAAACCCAACTGCCATTTTGGATTTAATGGTCATTTTTGGTGATTTCCACACTCCATACTTTAACGAACGCATTGCAGTCTAAACACACAGAGGATGAAAAGTTGTACAAACGGTTATTACCACAAGACCAGTTTGCCTGTGGCGTGCTGTCAAAACGTTGTTGTAATTTCAGTCTACATTCTCAGATCTGCAGCAAATTTGGAATGTATAATAAGAGTCCCGCCCTGAACACAGCCACATGCCAATAATCACTCAAAGTCTCAGCACCACCTGCAGGCAACAGGAAATGACATGTTTTATGCTGTACTGTACTACTACTAGCAGGTTGGACACAACTTCAAAACTGTCATTTCCATAAAACTCATAACGCATTGATGAAGCCATGTTGCAGAACTCGTGAGTTTGAAGTTATTGGCGTGGTGGTGGTGTGGCTTCCAAGTTAAACTCTTTGCCATGACACAGGAAGTTGTACCTTCAGTGTACATGCTCACATCTGCACCAAATTTTACATCCCGCCCCGAACACATCTACATGCCAATATTCAGTTATAGTCATAGCGCCACAAAGGGAACACAGGAAGTGATAATTAACACCTCTGTGCAGCGTCCGAAGCACATTTCAGTTCGGCTGGTTGTTGACTCCTCAGGTTAATTATTGTTCCAGTAAAGTGGATTCATTTCTAAAATGTGCTGCTGAACAGGTTCTCCTTGACTTTTAAGGATGGGATGGGGTGGTTGAAAGTAACAGTAACATAACGAGTACTGTGACTATGTACTTTTAATACCCAGTAATAAGTAAACCAATATATTTACTTTTTAAAGGAGTAATAAGTAAAAAGTCACTACAATTCATGATTAATTTGCTCAACAGTGCTGCTAGATATGCCATACAGACTGATGTGCTGCAAAGACAGAGTGCTGCTTTCTGCCCCTTAGTTGCGCCTGCATCTCTGATGACGCTACACAGAAACCCGTCTTAGGCTCTATTTTCACATCGTCTGATCATGGCTACTTGAGACCACCAATTGGCGATCTGATCGCCAGAGGGCGGTGTTGCATTGCAGCAAGTCAGTGAAATGTAAGAAATAGGCTTATTAGCTTTAAGAGAAACCACCAGACATCTGTAAGTGCACTGTATAGCGTTTCCCACAGAATTACTGTGGAACTGTGGAACCCAACTGTATTCTAACGTTAACATAGCTATCCTTATTAGCTAGGCTCCTTATATGCTTGCTTATTAGTTATTTGAAGGTGGGTCTCAGACAGTGACAGCTTTGTGTAAAAATGTATAGACTAACTCCAGGTTCAACCCTGAGTTTTCAGTCCTACGACAGTGGGCCATGGTAACTCATGCTGAACATCTCTGGAGCAGAGCAGTAAATGACATGCCACTGACAAATGACACACCTGTTCCAGGTGTTATTTTCACATTTACAAAGTGAGCATGTAGGAGTATAAGCATAGCTACTAATGTCACTACTGTGAGTAGCTGACTTACGCTCTAACTCCATCCTCCCTATAGAAGATTTCAGGCACAGTCTCCTGTTTCGTCCAGGGTCTGATGTGTGGCTTCAAGTGAAGTTGGTCCCTCTTTGGTGGAAAAGCCGCATATACATCATACCAGACAGGTTTCTCTGTTGGCTTCACGACCCCAGAGCGCATCAGATCTCGAACCCTGTCGATCATGCCATCACAAAATTGATTATTAAAGTGGCATTTGACAGCAATATCACTGATTGTAAAGCAGAAATGTATTTAGATTAGATTCAACTTTATTGTCATTGCCCATGTCACTGGTACAAAGCAACGAAATGCAGATAGCATCTAACCAGAAGTGCTTAAGCAGTAATTAAATAGAAGATGATACATTATTATCTTCTATTATATAAGTGCAAGGTATAATACAGAGAATAATGAAATTGCTAAATTCAAATCAGAGCTGTATGTAAAAGACAAATGTACATAAAACTTCTTTTTCTTACAGTTAAGCATAAGTGCAATGTAAGCGGCTGTGGCTCAGGAGGTAGTGCGGGTTCCCCATTAATTTGAAGATTGGTTCAATCCCCAGCTCCTACAGGCTTCATGTCTAAGTGTCCTTGGGGTAAGATACTGAACCCTGAATTGCCAGTGATGGCTGTTCCATCAGTGTATGAATGTGTGTGAATGGTGAATGCCATGTAGCCAGTGAGCAACAGATTTTAAAAATAATAATTTCAAAAATGCATTAACGTGAGATAAAATAATTGTTGGCTTTAATTAATGCGTTCAACGTGCCCAGACCTAATAAAAACAACTTCTGTCTTGGTCGCATGCCATAACGTTACAACACTATCTCTAGACTCTGGGGGCCTTTCCGAAACTGCTTGCTACTCCCTCTTCCTACCTACTTCCACATCGTTTGCGCATTCATGCAGAAGGTTAGGGAGATCGATTTGGCTGAGAGTCTAGTTTAACAGACCCTCTCCCCTCCTACTCCGTCACGGAGTGTACTCTGGTCTGTACCCTCACAGCCAAATCAAGCTCCTTTAAAGCTTAGGGTATAAATACAGCGCCAACTTAGCGTAAATAGGATCTGACGTTACCACTGCATCATTTACTGCTATCGTACAGGTCATACATTCTTTTATGATAAGATTGTTATTGATTGTAAAAGACTAGGCAATTCATTTTGAACCTCTCATATGGAAAATATTACTTAAGGTGGGTGGTAGATCAAAAACTCCACCGCCAAAAATTTTTTACCAGTCAAAATGATAAATTGCATTTTGTGTCACATATACATTTGTTTCCATCCTTTTAATTGAGATAATAAGGTATTATGTCAAATACGAAGAGGCCAGAGTGAAATTTGAAGCAAAATTATATTACTGCTATTAAATGCACTTAAAACGTAACGGTAAATTGTTTTATTTCTTAAACCTCACCAGACTGTTCACTTTCTACAATCACCCTCTTCTGGCCTCCTGGTTCTGACAGAGTCCTGGGGCCTTTCTCATTTCCCAAATTTCCACCTCCTCGACTCCTCGATCCTCATTTTAGTCCTGCCCACCTGAGTTGCGAGCTCGAGGAGTCGAGGAAAAGGGCATTTAACGAAATGTCCTTTCCTCTGCGCAGTCTTTTTAAAGCGACGTCAATTAAATATGAGGTGTTGCACAGCTGCATCATCTGTCCACTGTTTGAGCTGTGATCTCTGTCAGAGCAGCAGAGCGTTTCATCATCAGTCCCTTTACAAAATGACACAGTAACATTTATCTCAATTACAGCTGTCCTCACAGGACTCTGTTGGAATGGCATGTGCAGACTAAATGGGCACTATTAGGCTTTTAAAACATGAAACAGATCAGTGCTGAATGCTCTGCTTGAGCATTTGACTTCAGCAGCTGTATTGTCACGATTATAGCAGCTAAATTGGTGTGACGCGCGGATCGTCTTGGACATTAACGGAACTCATATAGGCCTATACGCATAACCTGTGACTTGTGTAGACGTCAGATATCCCAGAATGCATTTTGCCGACACAAAGTGGAAATGTCAGAGGAGAAAACTCAGAACTGTAACTTGTAATACTGCTGTTCTTGTGACACATATATAGTAGTTTTAAGAGTTTTTTATGCGAGAATATAGTTGTAAAAACTCCAAATATGTGGTTGACTTGTCAAGACAGAGCTGATTTAAAAAAATGCAACAACGTTTTCGGAGATGTGAGGTCCCGCCCCGCTAACGGGTCCGGCCACAAAAAGTCCGCTGCTGTTCCAACTGCTGAATGACTGACTGCGTGCTCCCGTTCCTGGAAGTTTGCTAACGGCCGTGTGTGGAGCTAGCTAGCTTGCTTATCTGTAATTCACGTTACCTGTCATTTTAACGGGGCAAATAAGTTTGTCTACCGAACAACATCAAAGTTACCTGGGCTTCCATTACACCTCAGCAGTGCTACGGGCTGATTGCCTCCATGTCATGCCGCACTGATGCAGTAAGTCCTGCAAAAGGACCTCAGACCAAGCACTGAGTGCATAAAACATTTTTCAGAACTTCTCAAAAGGTTGACATTTCTGTATTATAAATTCTTTATTTTAATATTCTAATATTTTGAGATGCACATATAGTTTCGAATTTACATTTGTGAATATGAAATCTGTACACACAAGTGTTTCGTGGTGCATTATTTTTTTCTGGGAAACCTAACAATATATTCTTCCAAAGCAAAGCAAAAGATTTTTTCTAAAATAAAAATCACAGCGCAGGTGTTGTGCCGAATTCTGCATGCCTGCCATGAATTGCATACACCTAGCGTGAGGTAATGCTCTTTTATATTGAGAAGAGGTGGATGCAAATTTCTGCAGGTAGCCTACGACATTCGTTTTGCCCAATTCTGCATTCACTTATTAAAGTCCTTTTAGGACACTTTGCTGTTTGAATGAGGTTAACGTCACATGTTTTTGCTGAATCTTAAGAAATGGTACTTTTACTAAGTGTAATAATATATTAACGATTCTTAACGTTCATAAAATATATACTGATCATTTATCACTACTGATGAACCCCACAAAGAATAATATAGCGTTTAAAAGCAGAACTTTAATGCATTTTCATGCAATTCTCGGCAGGCATGCAAAATTCAGCACAACACCCTCTGCCACAGTTACGCTGTCAATCTGTGGGAAACACTGAGCTGGAAAGAATTTATGTATTAATTAAAAGGACATTTCTTTGATTTTATTGATGATTAAGTATTGATAAGGTAGAAGCCATGCCTTCTTCCATACTATATCATCTACAAATCGATTCCAGTATGAAATCACATATGGTACTGTAGCAATGTCTCTTTGGAAAAAAGCTCTTATAGATCTGTTATTGAATGACTGGAGAAACTCATTTTTCCTATGGAAGTGTCGGACTGAAATAACAAGGGCAGTTGCTGTGCAGTAACCCTTGTTTGTGATTTGAATAGCATATAGACTCCAGAGGGTATTGCACCAAAAACCTTTGCATAGTCCCCAGGTATAACAGGTATATTATATTCTGAAAGAAATTCTTCATAAGTAAACAGAAGACCATTCCGGTTAAATAACTGATCTACCAACACAATGCTGTTGTTAAACCAATATTCCATGAAGAGAGATTTGTGTTTATATAAAATGTCCTTGTTATTCCATATAAGATATTTGTGAGGTTGTATGAAGTAGATGAGAGACCATGACAAGAAAGCCTGGCGATGAAAGGCAGACATTTTAACAGATACCTTATCAATATCATAGTTACAAACTAGGAACAACCTCATGCCACCCAGCTTTGATAATACATGAAGTGGTAAAACATTCCAATGGTCTATATAATTGTTTCAGCCAATTTATTTTAAAGGTATTATTTAAGTTATAAAAATCCAGAAAGTTAAGCCAGCTGTTTTCATAGGAGCCTGCCTTTGTTCTAGCCAGATGTGATGTCATTTAAAGCAACATTACATTTTTATGGACAAAACTAGTTAGTATAAGGGGGGTGGCAAGTTAAACTGGGGGACGTTCAAAAATGACAAAATATTTACAAAAAATGTTTTTTATATAATCTATATCCTATGTAAACATGGGCACAAATATAATCCTGAAAATAATCATGGTTTGAAAAAAATATTTATAGATGCAAATAGTGGTTTTGGATCTGGACCTGGTCCAATGTGACCTGGTACATGCAAAAAAAACAGATAAATTGTGCTTAAAGTATTTTCACAAATTGAACAAAGGTTTCACAAATCTGAAACTGTGTTTCAGACATTGTTAAGGCTTTGCCTAAAATGCCTAACCGCTTTCACAGCTGTACTAGGTGCAAAAACCCGAGAATCAGTTGCACAGCAATGTAAGTTAACATAACTACCGAATCGAAGCGAACTTCAGCGTCGTGACGATCATCGCATTGGGTGACTTTATAACACACTACCGCTCCGCGCAAACGGAATGGAAGTAGGTAGGGGGAGGGAGAAGCAAGTACTTTCGGAAAGGCCCTCGGTCACCATGCTCTTGAAATACGACATTAACTCTAACGTTACCATCGGTTCACTTGACCTTTGTTTCGTACATGTAGTATCGCCGGGGCCGCGGGTCATTGCTGACCCTGCTGCACCTCTGACACAGCGTGGCCTACCGTTATTCCCGAGAAGCTGTGCTGTCCCTGTGGTTATATTAACAGGTGTTAACGGATGTCCTTCAGGCCTCGGCTAACTAACGTTAACATTAGCTACCTATCCACTTAGCGTAAATTCGGCTCTCTTACCGGGTAAACACGGTTCCGACCCTCTCTAGCCTGCTGCCGGCCATTCGGCCTTTTCATCGACAGCTGTAGCGCTGCAACCATAGACTGTATAAAAGAAAGCTGCAACAAGACCTCCTCCACCTCTCCTCTTTTTTTCCTTCTACTTCCGTGGTTATTGGCGGTTGGCAAACAGCTTAGATAGAAGTCCGCCACCAAGTGGACCGGAGTGTGGAACAACAAAAAGGAGAAAAAACTGAGCTGAATGAATTTCTTTGAAAAACACAATATAATCCCAGTATATGTTGCTTATTGTTTTCCTCAAGAGACCTGACAATTAAAGGTCCTGGGCGTTGTGCCTTCCTTAGTGACTAAAGAAGTTGATTTATTTTATGTTGTATTGTCTACACCTTTTTATATACAGTCTATGGTCTAGGGACATAACTTACTGGCTACGTTCAGACTGCAGGCCTTAATGCTCAATTCCGATTTTTTCCCCAGATCCGATGTTTTTTTGTTTGACAGTTCACATTACTGTTTAAATGTGGCCCATAACACACTGCAGTGTGAACTGTCCGGGGCGTGAAAGTGACCCGCATGCGCAGAAGAATAACACAACGTCACACGCAGTACACTGTTGCAGGCTACAGAAGTAAACAAAGAGCCACAGAGGTTAGCTCTTGTTAGCTCACGGGAGACTCACCTTTTTCATGGTCCTCTTGCGGGTCACATTTCTCCCGAATTATGACAAGTGTTCACAACTTTCTGTTCTTTCTGTTCACAGCTGACCCACAACTCCCTTCTTCTGTCTCTCTCTCTCTCCCCCCACTGTGTCCGCTCAGACAAGTAGCATGCACGTAACTAAGAAGAGAGCTTGCGGTCCGGTGGATTTCAGGTTTAAGAAATGGAATTTCTGAGTAGATGATAGCGAGGTAGAGAAGGAAGCGAGACACGTGTTTAATTATGGCTTTTTGTGGAGCTTTTTCATTCAGTGCAGCTCCGTCTACAGCTGCTCTACAGTGACGTCAAGAGTGTCCAGACTCAGGTCGCATTTAAAAAGATCCGATCTGATCCGATCTGTATTGGATTTGGACCACATTCCGAACTAGAAAAGATCAGATTCCATGTGACTTGGCCTGTTCACACTGTCATAAAAATATCAGATCTGAGTCACATATGGGCAAAAAAATCGGATTTGCGTCACATTGGCTTGCAATGTTTGAAATTCAATGACAAAATTTTTTTGAGCCACTTATGATATAAGGATGCTTCTAGTCTTGATCTTATCCTGCAGTAATGTATATGCCAAACAACATATGAAAGTATGCCTTTCGGTACAGGCAGAGCAAAGAAGAGGAGAAATGCTCACCACTCTGAAGCTTTCCATAACTTCCTTTCACTCACTGACGTTATTGTCCTAGTTATCTCAACGGTAGGTTTTATTTTCACAAGTCGCAAATCAACCTCTTCACTTTGTTTGCCAATGTACCAGTGTACCAGATTGTGATATCCATAGGTGTCAGTAGTAATGAAATGTCTGCAATACGCGTGCATGTGAACATGCACACGCACAAGGTGGCGTGCACGAAATGGCATGAAATAAATAATTAATTAATACAAAATGAATTAATTTATTAATAAATAAATACATTTTTTAAAAATAAAAATAGATAAATAAATAAATAAAAGGAAAAAAATGTTGGGGTCATGGTGGGGCTTGAACACCAAAACGTGAAGATCGCTGTGAAAAAGGGGGTTGTGTTTGGGGATGTCCGGTCTTATCCTCTAAAAACGGATGTTGAGGTTTGGGAGGGGTTTAAACAGTCAGTTGTATATCTAACAGGATAGATTTTGAAATAGTATACATCTGACCGAGAGCGTGGAACGGGATGACTGAACGATTTTTGGGTGAATCTGCATCGGATAGAGCTGTCTTCGTGCAGAACAACAGCGCCATCTCAGTTGTATCAAAATCATGGACACCACAGGTAAACAATCGAGAGTAATGACTCCAAAACAACGTATAATTGCACATCCTGTTGCATTGAGTATGGCTCCTAGAAATGAAGACTCCCCCTACAGCATTGGCCGATTTTCTGGACCAAAAGGCTTGGGCACCTCAGTTTGAATGGGCAGTAGAAGATTTTAGAATGTCAGGATTCTTGTTTGAGTAAGGAGTTCATCTTTATAAAAGAGAGCTTGATGAACTGTTTGTTTGTGAAAGCCCACCGCACATTAGTTTTTCAGCCAAAGACTGGAATTACTTAAGTAAACAAAGTCTGTAAAGATTTGAGTGAATCAAACGGAGTCTATACCACACAATGGTGCGGGTCTACCGTGTAGAGACAGACCTTGAAGTCTACGACCCAGAATCCTACGTCTTTTTTAGATCATGCAAGGACGATTCTGTCATTCAAAATGCAAGGAAAAAAGTATGTGTTTTGTGCAGGTACGAGGACATGTGCAGCGGATGAGGGTGTATCAAGCAGGCCTAAATATTTTTCCATTACTCCAGGATGATGTCGTCAATATCTCTTGGGTGGATGACTATGGCAAAGAACTGGGGAAAAGAAATTGAACATTTCTCATTCCTGAAGAAAAATCAGAAGCCGTTTAAGGGATCCTGTTTGGACACTCTGGACTGTTGCAATAAGGCCATATCATCTAACACTACTACTAGCAGTATTATACAGGTAACCGTAGCTTATTATTTATCTCTCGGGACATTTGGAAGGGGGAAAAACACTGAACAACAATGGGGAATGTGTCTAGTCTACTAAACTATGTCAAAAAGAGAAAGATCATGTATAGGATGAGAGCACTGTTGTGTAAAACTTTTAACCATGCAATATGTGACACCGATAGGATACTATGTTGTTCTAGATTTGAAAAACAGACAGAATGTGTTAGACGAATGACATCGGGTAAATATCCAGCAGATAAATATCCAGATGTGAAATCTACTCTACTCGATGCAGCAAATGTTTTTCCTGTGATGGTGGTGGTGATGGTGCAATGGATAAGATACCTTTCTTTGGTGTGAGAGACCTGGGTTCAATCCCCCGCTGTGACCCCTACACCATTGTGTCCCTGAGCAAGACACTTAACCCCTCGTTGCTCCAGAGGCGTGTAGCAATTGTAAGTTGCTTTGGATAAAAGCATCAGCTAAATGAACGATAATGATTTTCATATGGGGCATGTGTTTTGTTTTTATACTTTTAGTATTGATTTGTGTGTTTTAATGCTAACCAGAAAGCAACATGTTGATGTTGATGATGTGATGTATTGCTTCACTGAATCTTTGGTTTGTAAAAACATAGTTGCTTGTATTGATTTTCTGAAAAGTCTATACTTGTAAACCTCACTGACAGATATATCGTGTACTTAAATATTTTATATGAAATAAAATACTTGAGCACAGACACTGAAGGGTCAATCTTTGTAATAAAGATCATGGAGGAGGTGATGAGAAATGTATTCTATGCGACAGACAATGCAGGGGGTTACGGAGGCAAGCAAAAACTCAACAAGGCTATATTTGACAGTACTGGAGTTCGGTGTGCAGATTCAGACATAGAAAACTGGCTCATGAAACAAGATGCCTGTACTCTTCACAAGACACTCCAGTGCATTTTAAGAAACAAGGTTTTAGTGAATACAATAGATTGGCAATTCCAGCTAGATCTAGTTGACATGTCCGCTTATTCTGCAGAAAATGATGGGGTACGTTATTTATTAACTTGTATAGATTTGTTAGATTTGTTTTCAAAATATGCATGGGTATGTTGCTTAAAAAACAAGAGCGGTAAATGCGTCGCAGCATCCTAAAGATATTGTAGCTGAAGGTAGAATACCACATAAAATACAAACAGAGTTCTTAAAGATTTTGAAGCATTAATGAAAATTAATCGTGTCATTCACTTTACCACATCAAATGAGACTAAGGCATTTGTAGTAGAGTGTTTTAATAGGACCCTGAAATCTAAAATGTGGCGTTATTTAACAGCCAATAATTCTAAACGATACATAGATGTATTGCAGGACCTGGTCAGCTCCTACAATCAGAGTTATCATCGCAGTATTAAAATGAAACTGATTGAGGTAACAAAAGACAATGAAGATATTGTATTTAACAACTTGTATAAAACAAAAGATAAAAGAGTAATTTGTTTTGAATATAAAGTTGGCGATACTTTAAGAATTTCAAAACTACGTGGACCCTTTGAAAAAGGTTATGGGCAAAATTATATTGATGAATATTTTACTACAAAGGAATGTGTGTCATGGGATCCTTCTGTTTACAGATTAAAAGATTATGACTTGAAAATATTACAGGGAACATTTTATGAGTCAGAGATGCAAAAAGTTATTATAGATAAAAACAAAACATTTAAAATAGATTTTATATCGAAAGAAAAGACAAGGTCAGGACATGGTGTTAGTCAAATAGGTCGGCTGGCCAGGTAAATTTAAGTCTTGGATTTCAGAAAAACAGGTCATTTAGTTGCCCTAGCACCTTCCAAACACACATATAAATGGATGTGGAGGATTTTTTTGTCACCCTGCCCAGTAACTCGACCATATTATTTTACCCCAGCAATACAATAGCAAATTTTAGAACAAAGCTATCCAAGCCTTTACACTTTAAATCAGCATATGAGGTGGGGTTGATAGAAATCCAATATCCAAATTCATTAGCAAGGACCACACAATCAACAGGTACGATTAAGTGATTTATTGATGATCGAAACAGAAAGATGCTAGCACTCGCTGAATAGACATTTGAGGTGTTGTGGGGAAGCTACAACAGGGAAATCCGCCGTAGCACCCCAAAAGCTTCTCGTTACGTGAGAGCATTGGCTGATCTGAGGTCTTTAAGATCTGAATGAGTGTGATGATGGTACATGTGGGAGGATCAGCGGTGCATGGTATGTATTGGGTGCTCGGGAATGACGTCGGAGGTTGAGAGGGTAACTCTTATACTGAAGGAGTGATTGGGGTAATGGATGGGAGAAGGCATGACGAGAGAGTGCTTGGCGGGAGTGGCGGTGGCACTGGTAATTGAGAGGCCACTGGAACCGACTCGGCGACGATCTGGCGTGTTGTACTCTAGAATCCAAGAGTTGCAATGGTTCACGAGGGTCTTGCAAGGGTTCAGGGTCATTGGACTCCGGAGAAAA